TCACGAATTGATGTTAATGTCTTATGATGTGGAAAACAATGATAAAGTATTTTGAACAGATGTTACAGCGAAATAAGGATTACCGTGATTGTCTGATGCCATGAATACAATTTCATTTCACAGTTCGTTTAGAAACATACGCGTCACGAACCCTCTGAAATCTCAGCAGCATCCCCGAGGGAAATTCGAAAACTGAGTAGAGTGGCTCAACTCGTATACAATAAAGTCCTGTATGTTACATTCGCTCAAATATATCTTCGCATAAAATAACAGGGAAGACATAAAGTACACTTGCTTCTAACAAATATTCTTCTCATTTCAACAACATACTACAATTATTAACAAAAAAATAAACTCAAGCTTCAATCTCTTCGAGTCCACAGAGAAAAACTTCATTCTGCAAATAACCTTCTCCAATATCAACCAGAAAACCAGAAGAATATCTTGCCACTAAATTTTCATTGCCACTTTCCCGAAGAAGGAAGTCTCTCATTGCAACACCTGCAGCTAATAAAAGAAGCAGAAGCGGAAGAAATGCAGGTCACGAAAAATCGATTTCAGTTCCGTTCACTCAGCGAAAATCGAATTTCCACGGTGCACGGCGCCGATGGAAAGCGTCAAGTACCAATATGTATCGACCACGCCCATCACGTTCGCGAATTCCCTTTCGATTTCTATGGAAATCGCGTTCAAACATGTCGCCAGTCTGGCAGACCTATCCCAGACCATCAAGATGTACCGGAGCGGGTACCGGCACGACGTAATGTGGCGGTCGTTGAAATGCGTCGCGTGTCCGATCTAAATCACTTTTCACTGGCACGGCTCACGCGCGCGCGCGCGCGCGTACACCTCGGGATGCTTTCCTCCGTTGCTTTCCTTTTTAGAGAGAAAAGCGCACCGGATTGCCGGCAACGTGCCCGCAATTTTCCTTGCATCCCGCGTTCTTCTCGCCTCTCTAATTATCCGCCGGTCGTTTTGGTTTGTTTCATTTCTAATTTATGACTCCTTTCTAACCCTCCGCACTTCTTGGTCACCGACATTTCCCCGTTTTCCCCGCTGGAATCATTTGTGGGGGATTTTCTGATCCAATTTGCATACATCGAGTCACCATTAAAAGATCTACATTCGATATCAGTTAATCTTTGCATTAGCAACTGAAACGTTTGTGTTTGTTTATTTTCGAAGTAGAAATCGACTTGTCGATATAACGAAGTTAAAAATTAATTTAAGCGTGTAAAAGAGATTGAGATATGAAGCAATTTCTCTTTGAGAAATTTTCGTGAGATCACAAATTGTACAGAAGAAAATTTAAGAATGGTACTCGAGTACTCGATTGCTAATGTACAGGTTCAGTTAACAAATTTTTTCTAAACTGATGTTCTTACAGGAGAATTCGAAAGTATGGGAATTTATAAGATTTTCTTTTCTTCGTGGTTGGTCTGAATTAATGTGTATTAGGTAAGTTTCGGAATGACGACATAAATATTTCCTGTGTTTGACGTGCATCGGTACAAGGTTTTACTGTTTGCAATGTGTATATTCGATACTCACGAAGAATGGTAAAGCCGTCGACGGAAATTAGCTATCCGGTCGAACAGTTGGTTCTTGATATTTTACAGTGAATTATGCTACTGTGAGGATAATCGACTGTGGAAAAAGTTTCTCACAGGCATCGTGCATGCTAATATAGAGAACATTCGTACGTAATGCGAAGACGGAATCCCTGAATGTCCGCTGCATCAGAAATTGCGGTTTTACTTAGTATTATCGAATGACCATGTCACGGAACATTAAGATTTCCGATCGATTTTCAATTACATGGAACGGGCTTCAATCAGAGGAGATTTCCGGCTGAGGCGAAATGTCGCTTCTTCCGTTCATAACTCGATAATTGAGTAGTTTAAAACTAATTTTACTGACTGATTTCTTTTTCTATCATTTTTAACCCTAACGCAATTGATCGAAGGTCAGTTTCTTATATCTAAAATTAATTTCTTTGACCATCATGTGTAATATCGTTAAATTGTGAAAGTTTATTGCAATGTAACAATAGATAATTAACTTCGGAAGATTGTTTCACGGTTGAGTGCAGTGACATTACTTTTCTTGGTCATTTATATGTTCTCATTCGCTAAATTGATTTATTTTCTCGGTTATTCGAATGTGAGTAACATAAATAATGCATATTCTGCAACCATTGTTTGAATATATATTTTGAAAAGAATTATTAAAATAACGTATATAATCTGATTAAGTTGTTAATCTTTCGTTTGTTTTTGGGAGATAGTTACTTTCACTAAAAATCAACTGCTTGATTACTTGAGCTGGTACTCATGTTTCTTTACAAACAGCTTGTCGAACACGTTTTTAGCATGTATAGACGATGAACAGACAATATTGTCGTGCTTGTCTGTCGCGACGAATCCTTTCGTCACGTTCAATCCCGCCGGCTACCTTTACGAACTTCCGATTCGAACGTTGACCTGGCACAGGTGTCGCGTTCAACACTATTCGAAACAACAGAAGTCGATTGGAGAACGTCGAGAAACTGGTTTAAAGCTGTAGGAAGGAAAACGATATCTTAGCGACAGATCATAAATCTAAGTAGCACGACAAATAAATTTGCAACAGAAGTTTATGTAAATTACAAATTTATTATGGGGCCAATTAAAGGAAGTCTATGCTGAACGTTAATTTATCGGTGTTGTTAACACATTTATGAAGTTCACATTGCAACCTTGTATAACTTTAGTGGTCAATATTTTTGGCGTTTAATAACTTTCAGTTAATTGATAGCCAAACTTGAAGTAACTTCTCTGTATTCATTTTCTCGTCAATTTTTAAATCGAAGTTTGCGTAATAAACATATTTTATGTATCTTTGTTCTATCTATTCTTGCACGATAAAGATATTCAATCCTATCTATATTCCTAATTGTTTATATCCTGAACGTTATGTTAATGCGTTTTACACTCACTTTCGACCCTGACTGTGGAATGCGCGGTACATTTAGAATTGTTTACTGATATCAAAAATACGATCAAAAACTAAATGCCGATTCGTAAGGATTAGAATCAGCATCGAGAATTGCTGATTAATGAACATAATGAAACTCCTGGCATACATGTAATTCAAACACTAACAGGATTCTATTGAAATAAATTTCAGTAGAAAGATAGTTTTTCTAATACGATATTAATTAGATGATTTACACCCGTTGGATACAGCTAACCGCCAATAATGATTAATTCTCGAAAAGAGTTTGAAGTCGTTACGATTTCACAGATCATCGGCAACTGACAGCCATAATTGACCGTAAATCACCGTTAACCGACGAAAGAGGGATTAATATCGTAACGGGCCCCGCATTTCTCGTATCTGAGATTAGATGATGCGATAGGAAGATTTCACGTCGTTAAGTACATACCGATCGGTGTTTTACTGACAAACGTTTCAGTACCCGCTGCCAGGCGCTACGTTCTTAAATATTAAAACGAATCGAACCGTAGTTCCTAGGTGGAAAAAAGTAGAAAGTAGAAATCCAAGAGCGGACCTGAACGAGAATTTTTATCCGATTCGAGAGCCCTGGTAAATATGCGTACCACTTGAATAAATCTCGCCTGTTGTCGCGTTATTCGACCGCTTTCGAAACGCCAAGGTACGGAACACGACGGATTTTTCGTTTAAAGTCGTTAAACGATACGTGTCCAACAATATTTATCGCTATATCTGAACGGAACCCATGATCAGCGACAGTATCGATCAACGTCATAATTTTCGATACATTCGTAGACGTCGACGTGACTCTACGATATTTTCTAATATACAAACAACAGACCGTGACGTGGTTTTACGTCATTTTAAGTTTACGTCGAGTTCGTTTCGGTTTCTGATCGATGTGGCTGTCTACGTAGTATGAAATCTTATGAACAGTATGCGAAAAATGATAATTATATCGCAAAATATATTAGCCAATTATCACACCGATCAGCAGTCTACAAACGCATCTTCGACCACAAGATTCCCATTGCATCTTCCAATGTCAAATAATCGACGTATCTGAACCAACACACAGAATAGTACAACATATTACAAAAATATCCAAATTGTATGAATAAACTATCCCTTTTCAACAAACGTTCACGAGTAAACCAATCGTAGAAATACTTTTCCCATGCACAGTCTTCTAAAGTCGGTTGTTCCCATCGATTCCTCCGAATATCGGCGAAGTTCAATTCCGGCGAATCACGGTCAATAAAACAACGCCAATAAAACCCCATCGACTACCCGGCAGCATACCAATGCCAAGGTGTACTCGGTCGTTATCAAAGCGCCGTAGACCGTACAGCATGTGTCCGCGAGGATGAAGCTTCTGACCGATCGTTGGAAGGCAGCCGCGGCGTAGAGGCAAGGTATCCGGCCCCACCACGTGCTCGCGGTATCAGACTATCATACGAACCGATAGACAGTAAAACGAGCACGTAGACGGGCACAGGAAAGGCATGGTAGCGATCTTGGCTGTGGTTGCGAGCCGCGCGCTGCTCGAAACCCCCTTCACCTTCATCGAGCGGAATCGGCTCGGCGTGGAGAAGGAACGAATGGAAACGTAACTAAACGAAACGAAACGAAACGGAACGAAACGAAACGAAACGAAACTCAGCCGGCTACTCGAGAGGGGAAACAACGTCGAACGTCACTTTTTCCAAGCCCCGCGGTAGAGCTGGCCGGATTATTAGCGCGGCGCCTTCCAAACATCCGGCGAACATTACCACCTACCCGTTGTCGCTACCACCTACCCACCTACTACCCGACACTTTCTGCCACCACTCCCGTAGCCCGTACGACGTACGTCTCCGATCTGAAAAGGAGGTGAACGCGCGCGAGAGTGTATCATTGGACAAGGAATTGGGGCAGGAGCCAATAGTGAGAAGCGCGAGGTGGAGCGATAGGTTTTAAATAGGTGTACAAGAGCGCACGGTGGATTACGGCTAGTCGGATAAGACCGATACGGTGCGAGGGGCCCAACGAACCGCCGGTTATATTTTTCGGGACCGATTGAATACTCAGTGAAAACATTATTGTCCGGCCGGGTGTACCGTCGTTATCGTCGTCGTTACCGTCGTCGTCGTCGTCGTCGTCGTCGTTTCTCGTCCATCGTTCCACCGTCCGGTGATGCCAGTAGTTTCCGCTTCCCTGGGGATATCGGCGACGGTGTGAAAACCCGGACCAACAGGAGAAGTGACAGTTCAGATAGAGCGGCGAGCACAAAGAACGTCTCAGTCGACGCTGAGCCATTGCCTCAGCAAGTCTCGGCCGACAAGTCGGGTGATCTAGTCCCAACGGAGGTAGCTGATATTACTCTTACACTTACGCCGGAGTCATGAGACTCTATGGATGCGCGACGATACTGATCGTCCTGGTGACGATTTCCACGAGGATTGCGAGCGGCATACGCGTCACGCAAACCGCCGGCAGAAAGAACGGTGAGTCATCTTCTTGCTCTCTTCTACTGTCCTCTTCTCGCTCGACAACATCCGTCCGGCTTTCTCTGGCTATCCGCCTTTAACCGCTTCGACCGTCATTCCGCATCGTTTCCCTTTCCTTCTCCGTACTACCGGTACGGTTATCCTTCTCATCTCAACGATCTTCGACCTCTTCTCCCATCTTCTTCTTCCACTTCCTCATCTTCTCTTCTTCTTCTTCTTCTTTTTCTCCTTCTTCTTCTTCTTCTTCTTCTTCCTGATTCTCGGCCGCGTCTTCTTCTTTTTCTTCTGCTTCTACTGCTTCTTCTTGTTCTTCCTGGTTGTTCGTGTCGCTCCCGCTACTCGCACCGGGACTCTTTTTCCCTCACATGTTCGGTTTCTTTCGGTCGTGTAACATCCACGCTTGCTGCGCGCAGAGAAATTCGAACGAGACCGCGTGATCGTGGTGAGTGAAGTGTGCCCCGCGTTTTGTGCCTCGCGAAACTGTTTCTGTCACGGATCAGTGAAACACCCACGGTGTTGTGCGTTGACGACGCAACTGTTGTTTTCTTCGACCGGCTAGATCACGGACGGACTGTGACCGAGTTGCGAGTACGTCGAGACGATCGTGCTGTTCCCACGATTATCCTGCAAC